AGCACCAGAAAATTTACTGTTTCATAAAGCCATATCCCAGACAAGCTCTGCTCCCAGCAGATTCACCTTTATTGCAATGCAAGCAGGAACGTGCCAAGCAGCAGCACCAAATTCCTGTGGAAAATAACCTCAGAAGGGCACAACAAAGCTCAGAACAGCCCAGGAACAAGGACTGCTGGAGGCAATACACCCCTGCACTAAACCTTTTGAGGTTTGGGGATTTTCTCTTGGTCAGTTGGGTGTTGGCTGTTTGGCTCTGGGGTTTTAGAATCACAGAATAGCTCGAGTGGGAAGGGACCTTTTAAATGTCATCAAGTTCAACTCCCCTGCACTGAGCAGGGGCATCTTCAGCTAGACATTTGTAATATAAAGCATCACTGGCTTCCTAACTCAGCTCCAGAGGTGGTACCACCTCCCTGTGAGCCCTGAATGCCAGTGAGATTCAGCCCTGGCCCTGCTTTGCCACCAAAGCTCAGTGGATGGTTCTGTAAATCCCAGCAGAAGCAGAAGGTGGTTGCAGCACAAACCCTCCTGCAGCTGTGCCACAGGACACCTGCAAACTGCTGGGGAACAAAACCACGAGCCCACCCTCCACACCGTGGGCACCATCCCTGGGCTCTTCCCAGTCGTGCAGGAGCAAAACCCTCTGAAACAGTGACTGCAAAGAGCAAACGTGACACGTTCCACCTCACAGAACGAGTGGCCTAAAGGCCGTGAACAGGAGGGGAGTTTTGGATGTCCCTCCCATGGCTCTGCCTGCAGTGCAGCTCAGACAGAGCCAGCCCCGTGTGTGGGACATCAGGACAGCATTTTACTTGTCCCAGCGTGCTGTAGAACTTGAAATCACATATAACACAGAACCACTGCAAGACAGAAAGCCTCTCACAGGAGAACTTACATTTGGCATTTAAGAAAATAATTTGAAGCTTCTGAAAGCTTCAGCACTGAAGATCCATTAACTGCAGACATCTGTTAGCACAGGGGTGTCTGCACAAAGAGAACCGAGCATTATTGAAATGACACAGAGAAACCATCACAGCAAGTACCCACAGATCCCAAAGTTCATCTTCTTTAAGATAGAAACATTTGTACATCCCCTAATGCTTCCAAATGGGAGACGTTTTCCAGTGAGCTGGATGCTTTACTTGGGGAAAGGTTAACCAGAAGGTACTTATCTTTCTGAGAAAAGCCACTTGCACTCTTTCAAGAGGCTCCATGTGCATCCTGTCACCAGCATTTGATTCCCTTGAAAAAGTTTTTAAATTACACTTCTGCCTGCAAAAAAGTGACCTCTCCAAACAGCACAAGTAGAGCTTTTGATTTTTCTTGTTTACCTCCAATTTCTACCCTGATTTTAACTATTTAGAAGACCAGCAAATCCAAATAACCAAAAGCCCCAAGGCAACAAAAACCTGCCCGATGTAAAATGTTAAACCAAGAGTCCCTGGGAGCTGGAGATAGAAGGATGGGGGGCTGGGGGAGGGGGGAGAATTCCATTGGCACTTCCCAGGTATGTTATTTGGGTTTCCAAAGATGAGGGAGCAGACATCTCATCTCATCTGCAGGAGTGACCCCTGAGGAGCCCTGCGGAGGCTGGAGGAGAAAACCAACACTTCAGTGGGAATAAAATTAACAGTCTCACCGATTAAAATGGGGGGGGGAAACTGATGGGATTTCTCTGTGGCAAAGGCAGCTCTTGCTTCGTGCAACAGTGAAATCAGTGACATCACTGAACAGCTGCACCACTGCAGCCTGTTGGGCTGTAAAATAAAGGCTTTCTCCATTTTCCCAAGAACAGATGTGATGTGCTCTCGAGCCACCTTCACTTCCATCATGCTTTTCCTGGGAGCTGGTGGCAAATTAGCCGAGGCCAGAGCAGGCATATGGTGAGGAGGGCCCGTGTCAGGGATATTGGATGTCCAGGGCTGCTCAGCTCACATTTATTTGCACTAAAGAATAAGGCATCGGGCTCCTTTCCAAGAAGCTTAAAAAGACAAGAAAGGAGACCTTTTATATTGCTTGGGAATGGACCCGTTGTGCCAGAAGACTGTATTAAATCATTAACATTATAAATTCCATTTACAATACAGCAGTCATTTCATCCATCATTTATTCATGCAGGAGGGAGAGGATGTCCTGCATTTTTAGGACAGTGGTTCTTCTCCTTGCCCACGGTATTGCTCCAACCACAGGGCTGTGAATGAACAGCCCAGCTCCAACTGTTGGATGCTTCCAACTTCTCCTTTCTCCACACAAAAGTGAACCCCAGCATCTCACCACACGCTTCAGCAGCTGCCAAAACCCCAAATCAGCTCTGAAATCACTGGTGTTCCACGTTGTCTTTCAGATGCTGACTGAGAATGTTGTTTAGCCCCAAATCAGTAAGTTTGGTCACTACAAGTTCTGCCTTGCCCTGGAAGCTCTGTGCTTCCCCACATCACAACAGCAGGGGTGGGGGTTATTCCCATTCCATGGGCTAGCACAGGGAAGAGGGGAAGTGCCTTTCCAGCCTGCACATCCTTCTCCCAGCTCCTGTGCCACCATTCATTAATGAGACCAGTTGCTAATTAGCTACTGCACTCAGCTGCTCTAGGAGACAGCACAGGGAAAAGCTCATTATCCCAGCAGTACTCCCAGCAGTGGAAGTGGGAATGGAGAGATTGGGAGGAAGGAGAGGCTGATGACTCGTGTCCTCCCACGAGCCTGGTACAGCTCTTGGGATTGTCACTCACAACCCCAGTGGCACCACCAGCTCTCAGCACCGCTCAGGTCCCTCCAAAAACCTCCCTCATGCACTTCCTAAGCGGAAAACGCTCCTGCAAAAACTGCTGGTTTCCCTCTGGTGCCCCACGGACAGCTCGTGAGGCAGGACCCACAGCATGCACAGGGACACAGAGGGAAGGGACACTTCCCAGAGAGCAGTGCCTGCTGCATGTCATCACTGCATGTCATCACTGCACACACCTGCTCTGCTCTCACAGTGCCCTGACAGGCAGTGATGACATGGGAAACAACCACAGCAAACCTTAAAAGGCAAAAGGAATAACCACCATTATATCCACCTTTACTGGAAAGCCTATTTTGTGTACAAAGAGTAATTAAAAAAAATAAAAACACCCCCCCTCAAAAAAAACAACCCTGAACTCTGAACAAAACATAGTCCAACACTTACAAGAAGACTTTCCCTTGTTCCTGATATCCAGGACCCCAGAGGGAACTGGCTTTGCACTCAGAATTCAGCTGCCAAGCTTGGAAGCAGCATGGAAGCCTCTGCATAAAAACCTGGATACTGCTCCTTCCAAAGGGTTTTGGCACGACCTCCAATAAAGTGTTTTACAGAAAGTTGTGTTGAATACGGTTCTCCACTGACTTTTTTCAAACTTTTAACACTCAGGAATCATTAAACAGCCTCCTCTAATGGCCACCAGTTCTGAGATGTTATAAATGACTCAAGCAAGTCTGTGCTCACAGTTTACACACACTGACTGCCCCATCACTTTGTAACACACAGGGGAAACAGCAGAGAAGTTATGAAAATTGTACCTGATCTTTTTGTTGCCCATTGCAGACTTGAGTCCGTGAGAAGAGTGCTTTGGATGGGATTTTGTTTGGTTTTCCACGTTATGGGTATAAAACAAAAGGGGGAAAAAAGTTAATTAAAGCCACAAACCTGCTCTGAGGGGTATGTGAGGAGGGACAAGTGTTCTAAGTGCAACAACCCAGGCGTTTTTTTATTCATAAATACATCATTAACGATACCCACTGATATGGCAGCAATAAGCCACCCCTGAAAGACCAACAACTCCAGTCAGGTAAATCTTGGGTTAAATCAGCAAAAAAAGTCTGAGCCACTGACCACACCTCAGAGATGATTTATGGAAAAACACAGGTGTTGGAGAGCAGAATAAAAATGAAATGTTACAACAAAATTCCTTCCAGCGTGGGGCAAGTATCGCTCTCAGAACACGCTCTGAAAATGCAGATTGAGGAGAAAGACAACTGGAAGAAAAGCTCGAGAAACATTCTTGTGACAAAGTTGTATTTAATTACCAGCAAAGCATTTCCTCATTTTATTTTGGTGCCAGCTTCACTTTATTTACATCAAGACAGTCCAAGTGGCTTCCCCAGCCATGGGGGTCACAGAGCAGCAGCCTTTTAATGTGCTAAGTACAAGCAGCAGGCAGGGCAGCACAGCCCTGCCAACAGGAGCCAAGGGGGTTGAAAGAGGACAGTTTTTAAATATTCCTATTAACATAAAGGGAGATAACACCCAGGGCAGGGAGCCCGTGATGTGGGAGTGACCGAAATGCCCCGTTCATTAAAGTCAGAGTCACTCCAGCTGCCTCCCCTCCTCTCCCAACAAGAGCCACAGCAGCTGGAGAAGAGCACACACTGCTGACAAAAGGTGGCCAGGGCTCACTGAAGCCACTCAGATTGCAACAGAACGAGTAATTTAAGCCAGACAATGCACAGATGCTGCTCCCACCTCAGAGGGATCTCAAGGACTCCCCCCTGTTGCACTGAAATGCTCTGTCCTGCACAGCACAAGCTGGACAGTCACAGATGGCAACTAAAAAGCCTCTCAACACACCCACAGTGCAGCTGCTGCCAGTAAAGCACCTTTGTTCCAGGCTGGGATGCATTAAAGGATGTGTTTTACTGGCACTTACACTGTGAACCAGCACCTGATGGGGAGTGCTGCGAGTCCAGTCTCCCTGCACTGGATCTCTGGTCAGGGGAGAGTTAAAAGGGCAAAGCCGACACTGATCCCTGAGTGCAGCACAGAAGATGGGACTAAAAATGATGGCAAAGAGAATTCTGGTGGCTCCTCTGCTTCAGCAAAGCCCCTGGCAGGACACTGGTTCAGTCAGGCCTGCCTGCACTGCCAGGTTGCCTCCGTGCAAAACTCTGTGCAGGTGAAATGTTGCTCTTACCCCCTCCCTGAGACAGAAAGGTGGCTCCAGAAAAAGTAAGTGATACTTCACAGTGACCCAAAGGAATTCTTAGTAGAAATAATTCCACTTTTATTGGGAGATGTTATGATTAGAGGAAGGCTTCCTTACAAATAGCTTGGGTTTTTTTTCCCCCATCCCCTGTTAGTGGCTGTATATTCCTCATCAGCACAGTGGAAAGAATCCAGTAATAACATCCAGAAAGAACTACCTGCCCTTTTTGCCCCTGTAGATCTCCAAAAAAGCTCCACAAAAAGAAACTCAAGTGTTATTACCAATAACTGTGAACTAAATCTTCGACCCAGATTCCACAGTGCTACTGATTATTCCTCACGGGGGCACAAACAGAGACCTCGTGGGTTTTAATCTGCAGGTTGTGTTGCCACTGCAACAGGAAAGGGATCCCAACTGATGGAGCGGCAGCAAAACTCAAGGCACATCTGTATAAACAAAAACTCTTCTGTTCCTATAAAAGCAGGCAATAAAATATACAAAAGAAGTAGAATTCTCTCCATTCAACCAATGTACATCTGCCTCAGTCTTTCCTGAGGCACCAGTGGAGCATGAGGAAGAACCACTGCTACCACGTTTTCAACATTCACTTTTGTTATCAAATAAATTACTCATTAGTGCAAAAGGAAAAAAAGAAGTCTGGCTGGTTTTTTTTTTTTTGGATTTGGGGGTGGTTTGGGGTGGTGTTTTTTGCTATGCTCTGGTTCTTCATAAAAAAATTACATCTCTAAGAAATTAGCATTTACACAAGAGAAAAAAAAGAAGCTACGTATCTGTCAAATTAAATCTTAAAATAATTCTGTATACTGTACAAATATACACTGTTAAACATTTACAACTTTAGCTTCCTAGATGACAAAATTCACCGCTCTTCCAAGCAATGCAGCTGCCCAACTTCTCTTCTCCAAACCTCAAAGCTCCCATCTGTCAGGTATGAAGTCCCTTCACAATTAGGGACAGGATGGGAGAAAGATCTACTGAGAGTAGTGGCATCAACAGGAGGGAGTTCCAGGTGTGCTGAATAATTTAAGATGCAGTCCTTGCTAGACAGAAACCTGGGAATACACTTGTCAGTGATGAGCCAGTAGTGAAGTCAATGAAATATCTTTCTTCGCTTGGCATTGCTTGATTCTGTGTCCTCTGGCAGTTCCTCTGATGGTCTCCTGGTTAAACCCCGACAGTCCTTGTTGCACTCGCTGCTGTTACTGTGACCTCCTTCACTGAGGGCTTTGGAACCGTTTTTGGGCACAGCCCCTCTCCTGTCACCCTCATGCTGAGCTGTGCAAGGAGATGTGGAAAGCACATTGCACTGTCCTGTTGCCTGCTGGGCCTTCCTGAGATTTTCTGTTCTGGAAATCTGATCCCTGGCAGCTGAGGGTGCATTAAGGCCTTGCTGTGATGTTGATCCTGGATTGCTCTGGGCTGACCAGCTGCCATCTTTCAAGGCCTGCTGCTCCTTCCCTTTTGTCTCAGTTCTACTGGCCAGACTGGCCAGCCTTGGGTCCCGTGGTTTCTCTGGATTGGCAGGAAGTGCTGCAGCCCCCACGGGCACAGGGGCACTGCCCCTCCTGGAATCTCCAGCAGGAGACCCCAGGGATGCAGGGGCACTGCCCCTCCTGGAATCTGTAGCTGGAGCCCCCGGGGGAACAGGGGCACTGCCCCTCCTGGAATCTGCACCCTGAGTCCCCACAGGCACAGGGACGTTGGCCCTCCTGGAATCTCCAGCAGGAGTCCCCAGGGATGCAGGGACACTGCCCCTCCTGGAATCTGTAGCTGGAGCCCCTGGAGGCTGTGGGGGCCCTCGGCTTCCTTGGGGCACTGCATGGCCAGAGCCAGCAGCAGCTTCCCGTGGGCTGCTCCCAGGATTTGTGAGCTCAGCCCTCTTGCCACTGTTAGGACCAGCCTGCACCAGAGGAGCTGTCACTGTCCCTGCTTTGGCCGGGGGCTGCACTGCTGGCCTGAGCTTCAAAATCTTCAGAGCATCTTTCTTGTAGTTCTTTTCTGCTGTCCTGATTATGGCACCTCTTTTCTGAGCATCCTGAATCAGGTGATTCCAGTTTTTATCTTCCTTTAAAAAAGAAAAAAAAAAAGGGAAAAGGCCTGAGTTATTAGCCAGAAATCAACACAAATGGACAGAGGTGTCAGAAGATGAACAACCCCTTTAACCAAGGTACCTGACACAACTGTCATGGAAACCACTGTTATGTTCCTTCTGGAATGGAAGAATCTTACGTTTCAGCTGCAAAACAGCTGCAGACACTCTGGCTGCTGTAACACAGGGAAGGTACTTTGAACCACCAGAAGCACCAAAAATGACCATTTCCCTGTTTCCAGGGTTTTCTCTCACTGGCACGTGGCTTTATCGCCCTCTAATGGCAAACTGACACCCCCCACCCTCGGGAAAGAGAAACCAAGGGGTAAAACACAGAGTTTACTCTCTTCCTGGCAGCAGCCTTGAGGATGGGTTTGAGTTCCCAGCCCTGCCTCGAGGGTGGATCACAGAGGACCATCCAACTGACACTGCACCTACCATGAGGGTCTGCAGCCTGCCCAGGATGAAGAGGCTGAACCTGGCTCGGGTGATGGTGACGTTCAGGCGCTGAAGACTTGCCAGGAACCTGAGTGACAAGACAAAACTAAGCTCCTAAACTACTCCTCCCACAGGGTTTAGGGGTTGTGAGAAAAAGAGGTAAAATTGTCAGTGAAATGAACAGCAGCAGCAGCTCCTGCCCCCTCCACAGACCCCCTGGCAGCAGCTCTGCCTCACGTGGAAGGCTTGGCATGAACTGTGTTTTCTTTCACCACTCTAACTCCTTGAAGGGAATTCTAGTTCTTTCCTGCTCTTGCCGTCGATGTTTCCTTTCTTAGAGCAAATCCCCTCTTAATGCCAACCCCTGCTTCCTTAAACGTTCCTCAAAGTACAGAGGACATCAACCTCACTTCACCTATCAAGACTTTAAGCTTCTTTTTGACTTGAACTGAAACAGATTAACAATATTTGGCATGATTAATGGGAAAATATCCTACTGAAACACTGAGCACTGGGCATGAATATTTTATTTTAAAGGTGACCTGCATTGGAAGCACGTCAAGGCAGACTTTTGCTTTGTCATGCTTCGAGAGTGGAAAGTGTTTCCTTTCAGAACAAAGTCTGGTTTTGCACTGTGAAGAGTGCAAATGGATTTCACTTTGAGAGAACAGCATTCAGAAAGTTACAGCGTGTACCAAAAGCTACAGGAACTGCTGCAGTGTTAATGCACAGAGCCAAGACCCCAAAGCCAATCCTGCCAAGCCCAAAGAGGGCTAAGGGAGCCCAGTAAGGAACAGAGAGCAGAACACCAGCACTTCCCTGTCCCTTTTGTTCTGAGAGCTCAAACCAGTAACACGAATTCGTGCCCTTTAATTCACTGACCGGTAGAGGTGACTTGTTCTCTCCAACGTTCTCACCAGTCCTACCCAAAATACGACCTTATCCACAGTGTCACTGGAAATGTAACTTGCAGTTCAGTGCAGGACACGTACCCAATGGATCCTTTGGTGCTGTTTGCCTGGGCATATGCCAGTGCTGACCCCTCAGAGCTGTTTGCCCGCACACAGGACACTATGATACAATCCTTCTCTCGACCCTGGAACGCATCCACTGTGTCCACTTCTCCTGGGCTGTGGAAGAAAGAATTAGCAAGCTGTTAAATTCTATTATTAGAGTTTTTCAGCAAAAAGAGTTTTTCAGTTTTTGATGCAAAGACTCCAAACGTTGTCTTAAATGCTCATCTGTCAAAACCATCCAGGGTAAATTTCTGCTTCTGTGTACGAGCCTTTGAAAGCTGAATTTACTTTTCTGAGAGCAGCATCGTTACTGAAAAGCTGTTCTGGTCCACACAGCTTGGAATTTTAGGTTTACTTTTCAATCAGCTTTATTCAGAACAGCAATAAAAATCAAAGCATGTGCACAGGTAATAACTAAGAAGTTGTACAAGGAGACCATGCCTGTTTTAAGCAAGAGGGTTGCACATCCCCTTTGAAGACACAACCAAATACAAATTTTAGCAGCAGACGAAGAAGTTTGAGAGTTTTTGCCGTTAGTTTAAGAGGACAAACAAAGGATTGCTATGCAAGAGCCAGGTCTCCTTTGAAAACTCGTGGTTTCTTTACCTGTTATTCCTAAACACACTGTCCAGCTGACCTTGAATTCTCTTTTTCTGTGCACTGTAAGGGGTGATGATTCCAATGCGACGAACACCCAGATCCTTCCTTTTCTCTTTAATTGTTCTAATCAATTCCATCACCAGCTTCACTTCCCGGGGGTTACTGTAAGAGCTGAACAGGACAAAATGGAAATGGTACAGAAACACCTTGGACAGACCTTCCCAATTCAATGCCCAGTTTGTTGGGGGATTGTGAGTCACAGCCTGGCTTGAACTTGTGCGGCCTCTTTTCACACAGAGGCTCAAAGAATTTGGAAAAGAGACCCTGAGGAGGGGATGCCAACCAGGAGAAGTGCAGGCAGGGAAAGGCTGCACTTCCATGTTCCCTTAGCACCTCCCAGCTGTGCTTTCCTTACACAACAGGCAAAGGGGAGAGGACTGAGCCTGCCACCTCCTGGCATCACCTCAGCCTGCAACTGGGAAAGGGAAGTCACTGATGATTAAAAAAAAAAAAAAAAAAAAAAAAAAAAAAAAAAAAAAATCAGGAACTCAAACTGTTGTAGAGTTTGCAGAGCCTGAAGGCACTTACTGGGATCTAACAGATAAGTCAAACCAGGATTAAAACCAGTTTCAGATAAGAAAAAAAAAAAGCCAAAAACATTCAACAGCTGTTTTTGTAAAATTAAATCAAATCAAGTGAAAAAAAAATGTGGTTCTAGCTACTTAGTGCATATTGGGAACACCAGAGGAGAGAAGATAAGTCTTTAGGTAGGTAATTATCAGAAAATCTGAACTTTGGCTGATTAAAATGCAGGACTTACTCGCAGTCTCGCTCCTCACGACCGTCTGCTACATCAAAAATCAGGTAGGGCTGGAATGGCCAGTCTGAAGAACATCTGTTCTCTTCTATTGCTCTGTAAATATCATTTTAATCACTAGGTAACCATACAGAAATGCTATCAACTGATACTTCATTTATTTATATCAAGCTTATCGAACACAAGGAACTCTCCACGACGAGAGGAAATGGCCTCAAGTTGCACCAAGGAAGGTTTGGGCTAAATATTAGGAATTTTTCCCAGGGAAAGGGTTGTGAAGTGTCACCATTCCTGGAAATGTTCAAAAATCAGGTGGCACTTGAGGACATGGTTTAATGGTGAACGTGGCTGACACTTGAACTTGATGATCTTAAAAAGTCTTTTCCAACCTTAACAATTCTATGATTCCAACTTTCAGCTTCCCCCTTCCTGCCAGAATCCTTAATTTTTACTGCTCCCCAGACATACTGAGGCCTAAAAATGAACTCTGAAGAGCCTGTATGCTCCATTTTAAGGGATCTGGTTAACTCACCTATCACAGCCAGCACCCACAGGATGCACAATTTCTCCCACGAACCATCTTCCCCTCTCCCACAGCCTCAGGAGTTTTTAGACTCAAAAGAATATCCCCACCTGAGAAGTTACCTTCGACAGACAGAAGGGAAAACAGGCAGCTACTCACTTGGCAGTCTTCAGGGTTTTGCCATAGACGTAGTTGGATGGGAAGAGGCAGATGTCGGGGTGCATCCTGTACTGCACCGTGAGCTGCACCACCGGCAGGCTCCTCAGAACGTTCCTCTGCACCTGCTCCTCCAGCAGCCTCTGCAGTCGGGCCATCAAGGACTGGTCGTAGCCATACTGCTGAGCTTTCTGCCAGAGGGAACACAGCACACTGAACTGCTGGGGAATCGGGTCCCAAATTACAAAGAGGGATTTGGGTTTTTTGAAATTAAAGCTGTTCGTGGCGACTACTCGCGTTTCGATTTTTGGGGTGGGTTAGTCGGGCTGTTTCAGTCACAACATTTTAAAAAACATCAACAGTAATGAAAAGCAAGGTCTTCCAGGTGGGATCTCATTAAAGAAGCCTCTAGAGGATTATCTCTCTAAGGAAGCCAGTCTGTTTTCTCTCCTTTCTTCAGCAGGTTGTTTAAAAATAGTCCTTAGTGCTGGATATGAGGAAGTGCTCCTGTATGTTCATCCTTAGATGGGGTAAGGAAGTGCCCATGCTCTTCATCCTCCCTTCCTTAAGGAATGTGACACTGACTGAAGCTCCCAAAACAGCCCAATAACAGCCTGCCACAACATCCCTCACAACCCCCCTGAAGTTTCTGTTGCCACATTGAAATGTCTCCTTTTTTCCCCCCCTTTTAAATATTTTCTATAAATACGATTCTTAAACTACACAGCAAAAAAAAAAAAAGAAAATACTTCAAACACTTACTACTGATTTTACAGTGGGAGGGAGCTGTTTGGGATCTCCAACAAGGACAAGTTTATTACAGCGATGGATCAGAGGAATCAGCGTCTCCACCTCACAGGACTGCCCTGCCTTTTGTGAATGAGGACAGGACAAAAAGTAGTTGTAAGCATCTTAAATTTCCTGTAACACAGCCAGAAAACTTAAATGCTTTAAGTCTTCTAAAAAAAAAAAAAAAAAAAAAAAAAAAAAAAAAAAAAAAAAAAAAAAAAAAAAAAAAAAAAAAAAAAAAGAAAATAAGAGGAAAAAGAAGGACTTCTCCCTAGTTAAAAACTGCAACCAGATTTATTTTATTATTGCATTTGCAGAGCTCTCCAAACAGACATAAATATAACCAAACCATCTGGAAACCTCTACAGCAAGAACCACGCTTCAGCCATGATTTTTCAGTGAAAGCTGCCTGCCATTAAAGCACCAAACAAGACAGCAAAAGAGGCAATGAAAAGTCATTCCTTCTCCTCGTGGTTCTGCACAGCAGGACCGGCTGGGTATCAGTTAAAAGGCGGGGATGGGGCAGGAAACCCACAGAATATTCCACCAGCAGCCCAACCACTACAAGTATCCCAAGCAGAGGCAGAAGACTGGAGTGCCACAGAGCTGCTCTGACCTCATCCACGATGACACAGCTGAAGGGGTCGTGGCCTTGCCGTGCAAAAGCCGATTCCAGCAGACTCCCCCCACTGGTGCTCAGGGTGCAGCAGATGATGTCAGACTCCAGGATGATGTCTGCCTGCACCTTCTGGGAGTGCCCACGAACCTTCAGGTACAACAGGACACCTCTTTTAGCTTTCTCTGACCTCCTCAGAGCAATTGGTAACTGCCTGGACAGGTCTAATTGCCAGTTGTGTGTAATGCACCACCCCAATGGAACTGTCTCCATTATGGCAAATGAAAGGCACAAGTTTATTTAACTGAAATGCTCCTTTCACTTGAAATTCCAGGACAGTGCCAGTGAGGGTGGCAAACTGGAAAGAAATACTTATTTCTACAGCTGTGCAATCCAAAACACACTGAGAGCAGAGTTCAGTTTGCCATCCTGTTTGTAACTCCAAGCCTCCATGACCATTAAGGGTCAGCAAATATTCATTAAAGGGATCTTCATTCATCTCATTGTTTATGCACTTAGCATTAATTACTGGGTTTGTTATCAGTGCCTGTTTCCCCTTTCAGATCTACACACACACACACAAAACCCTCCAGCTGTCGCTTTACTCAGAAACATTTAAGAGTATCTCAGTTCCAGCAGGACTGTCTGAAAGTGTGGATGAAGATACATCCTAGAACATGAGGACATGCACATTTTTATTATCTTATTTGTCAAAGATGGCACATTTTGTTTAAAACTCACTCTCAACTGTAACAGTGAATATTCCTGTTTGGGTTTTCTGTTTGTTTGTTGTTTTTTCCAGCCAGAGTACACACAGATTTCACACCTCCTGGTCCATAACTTAGCTTACAACCTTTTATTTATCTACTACTTTAGAAATATTCCCAGCTACATCAAAACCAAAGTCCACCAAGTATATAAATACATCAGCTGAAGTTTAATAAAGAGTTGCCCCTAAGATAAATTCCTACCTCCTTTTGCTGAGAAGCAAGTTGTTGTCTCTCCTTTGCAAGTCTGGCAATTTCCTCATCTAACATTTGACTCTAGATGGGAAAAAAAATAAAGAGAAAACACTTTTAATACAAACTATTTCCTATATTTCTTCTGTCTTCCCATACCCTACATTTAGACTTGCTCAGACCGACTTTTAATACCAAATGTGTTCGAAAAAGCTGAGCAGTTTCTTGGAAAGTTGTCAGCATATTCAGGTTTTGCAACACACAATACTACATCTTACATTTCTGTGCAGCTGGGAAATGGTTTGCCACCAGAAATCTGTAATTTGAGCACAAATGCCCAATTTTTAGACACCAAAAAAAAAAAAATTGAAGACTTCAAGTGTGACACATAAAAAATCTCAGATCACAAGGTCTCTTACTATTTCCAGTGAAACAAAACCAGAGCTTTGAAGTATACAACCAAATTAAACCATTAGGATTTATAAATATGGTTACATTAAAAACTAATGGTGACAGAGCCAAACTGAACACTGGAGCAACAAGTAGCACAAGCAATCAGTGGAAAACACTGGTGTAAATAAACAAAAAAAATCCCTGGATGCACAGTTCTTCATTCCCTTTTACAGTGCTAACCAACTTTTCCATCAGTTGAAAAAGCAGGTGAAGAGAGACAATTACTGCTCGGGGGGGGGGCATTATAAAGTAGCTCTTTATATGCTTTGGATTCTACAAAGAGGATTAGAAGTTCTCTCGCTACCTCTCTCTTCTCACATCTGTGCATGGCACGCTGCCGGGACAGCATGTCCAGCTTCTGATCCAGAGCTGCTTTTTTCTTCTGAATATCCTGGTCAGAGTCCCCTGGCTTTCGTTCTGTCACAAACCAAAGGACAACTTACAGGGGGGAACAGAAAAACTGTTACAGAAACTCTTGCTCTCAGCCCTGAGGTTTTTAAAAGCAAACGGCCCATACAGAAACTGCCACTTTCCCACTGAGACTGAGACAAACAGCTTTACGAAATATCTTCCTTCTTATAGGACATGCAGTCCCACATGTAAAACATCACTCTTAAAGAAGACTGGATAAAGTCTGATTTGCATGCTACTCACTCATTCTGTGTTCCACTTGCTTATCCAGGCTAAATCCCCGGACTTCATTGTTGATGGCCTTTTCAGCACCAAGTCGCACTAATTTGATGTCACCACAATTCCCTGTTTACGAAACCAGAGTCAAAACACTTTTACATTACTTCAGTCACCTCTCCACTTTGGTATGAGAGTTAAAAAAAAAAAAAAAAAAGAACATCGTGGATATCAAGCAAGGCTTTTCTTTTTTTGCTTGTCTGGGTTTTTCAACAGTTCGCTTGTACTTATCTAAATGCAGCTACAAAAAAATCCAGTAATTCCAAACTCTAAAAAATAAAAGATGTTACCTGTGTTTTAGTGGTGGCTAACAGTTAATAATGTTATTTTGAATTAACAGAATCACCTCTTTTTCTCAGGTTTATCTAAAACTTACAGAACTCCTAATTCAGACAATTACTGAGTACCATCAAGAAATGCAGTTGGTAAGTCAATAAAAATTAACATTTGATTACAATGCAGGTATTTTTCCCCTTGCCACAGACAAGATACCTTGTTCAGAATTCATCTACTTTGTGTTAGTCAAACTGGGAGGAGGAAAAATGAGGGGCTCTGACACGTCAAAACTTTCACCACTTTGTCCTGTGTGATCAGCGAAGTTTTTTTCAACTTTATTCAAAATCAAGGCAACGGCCCTGTGTTCAAACCTTTAAGTGCTTAATAACTGCTGAACTTAAATCAACAGCATGAGGAAAAGGTCGTTGTCTATACAAAAACACAGTGCAATTTATTTAAAAAGAAACACACAACACACCTTTCAGAAAAGCACATTAAAATTAACAACAGCGTGAGGATGTACCGGACACGTTCTGCAAGAGGAGAAAGCTGCTCAGAGGGGCGTGTAAATACAATATGTAATCAACTGTTTCACTTCCTCCTTCAGGCTTTGCCTATTTAGCATAAAAACAGAATTTTGAGACAAGCCCTACCCAAAGGCTCCTGTTTGTTCTGGCATTTCTCCTTGAACGCCACGATGATCTTTTTCATGAGCTCATCCACGGCAGCATTGGACGGTGCACACACCAGGAAGCGGTTTGGCTTCATCTTGGAATTCTTCTTCCGAGCTGTTTTCTCATTCCTGGTGTTCTGTAGATGAATTAACAGCACAACAAAACGGGCTCTTTAGGTTGTCTAGTTTGTGATTTAGAAGCCAGACAGTAGGTTCACCTTCATCAGCAGGCAGAGTATGGGGGCTCTGGCACTTGAATGTCCCTTAAGGTTTGTTTTATACTGAGGAACAAGCAGTCAAATCTATTAATGCTATTTGCATAAATTCCCTTCAATGATGTACTTGAATCTACTGGTTGCTTATATAAAAAACCATTAAGTGGGACAGGCCAAATAACATTCTTTAATAAATAAAAATACTACTTTTTTATGTAACAAGTGTTCATTTTGATTTTTCCATTTTAAGTTCTATGAATTAAGTGTTCCAAAAGGTATTATTTCCACAAGACAGATTTAATCACCTCAGCTTCATAAATTACACCCCCAGTAATTCCCAATACTGCATTTCCAATTAGTTTAAGCTATCACTGACTTCCACTGAGGAACCAAATGAACCTTCACATCACGTTCACTTACTTCTCTCAGGACACGGGACAGAAGTCCTACAATAGTTTTCGATTTCCCTGTCCCAGGTGGCCCATGGATGAGGCAGATCTTGGGGAGCCCTGGGTGTTGCTTTACCATGGCATAAGCTGTCTCAATGGCTCTCTTTTGATCTTCATTGTATTCATTCACATACAAAGCCTGAAGGGATAGACAGGGAAAAAACAATTAATTGATGCTGATCAAACTTTTCATGTATTTTCAGAACATCCTCACCCCTCCTGCTACAACTCAAAAGCTGGAAGGGCAGGGAAGCTTTTGATTCTAGGTTTGCTCTTGATGCACTCCCAGTCCTGACCTGAGAGTTGTAAAGAAGGTTTTGTTTACTTTCCACACCCTTATTTTTACAGTACCTTTTCCATACTGTGTCTTATTTCCTGAACACTTCTCCAGAAAGGAAAAAGAAAACTGAAAGCTGCTTGAAGTGCACAATGTCAATATAATACAAACACCTGAGCAAGTTCAGATTCCTCTCCACCCAATCAGCCAGCTCTGAAGGAGTTGTCTCAATCAACTCGCCTGTTTGCCCTTGGTCATCTCCACAACCAGATTTGCAAAACTCCCAAAGGTCCAAATGCCCACTTTGTTAATCCTGTCCCCTGAGCAGCTGCAGGACTTACAGCACTTCCTGAGGCCACCACAGGCAGATCCCTGGGGCAGAAGTCGTTGTAGCAGGGGTTTATGATGGGTCTGGCCAGGGGACTCCTGCTCAGCAGCAGCAAACCTTTGAAGGTTCGGTGTGTGGTCACCAGGGACCCAACCACCACACACTTCACCTGCTTGCGGATGCAGAAGGACAGGTTGCCTCTGGTCTGCACAGTGAGATGACAGACACTGTCCTGCTCCTGTTGTCCTGGTAAAGGAGAGAAATAAAAAACAAGCTGTTAATAAAAATATCCAAATCGTTAACGGAAAGATACTTCAGAAAGTCACTCCATTAATTCACCAGAACAAGGTGGTGTCTTCTACTAAGGAGCCAACAACTAAACTCTTGCAGAAACCCCAACACTTCCCCATCTCCATCAAAAAACAAAGAAACAAACACATACAAAAAATTAGTGCTCCATAAAACTAGTCAGTTCATTGCTTTAATCAGGCAGGTACTGGATACTTGGTGATCCTGGTAATTCACAATTTCAGTTCCAGAAGGTGGTGAAAAGTTCAGCCAGTGAGGTCACAGAAATTCATGGCACTTATCTCTCATGGCAGTGCCCTCCCTAAAGATGTGTGCAGAGCACTTACTTATCATTAGTTTCTGTTCTTACATGAAGTATTAACACCTGTATTGAAGGAATTCCCTAGAAAAATAGACAGAAAGCAGGTCTGCAGCTTCAGTTCCTGACTTTTTACAAAGCTTCTAGCACGGAACAGACATGCTAGAGTGGAAAAACAACCCCATTTCCTCTGAGGGAAGCAGAATATACCACCAGCCAGCTATGAACAAGTATTTTATGGCAACCAAGAAGAATCCCACCTTCATTCCCCCCACAGGTACTTACTCGCTGTATAACCGGACGCACGAGAAAATCGTGTCACGAGCCCGACGTGATTCACCACGTGGTTCTCCATCCCACCTTCTTCCCCAAAGGTGTCTTTTTCCATCTGGACCACCAAAAGGATTAAGTCATCCTCCTTTGGATGAAGCTGCCTTGCCAAGTCACCCTCTCGAAAATGAGCTACCCAAAAATACAGGTTGAAATTAGAGCGTCGAAAAGAAAACGATTGCGGTTCTGACTCCAGAAATGCTACAATTAACACATCACAGAGACTTCATGACACTCATCTGTTAACTTTTAAAGCTATTAAAGACTACAGCAAAAGACTAGATAGAATTTTAACTTCATCCTGCATTCTTAAGCCTGAACACAGCACTGCATAAAACCAGGGCAAGTCTAGGACTACTTTATCAAAAGAAGCTGAAAGGAAATCCCAAACGAGAGACAGAGAAGGCACAAATTCCCCGCAAAATACCTATTTCTGTTACATGCATTCTGTAGAATAGCAGAGTCAAGATCCTTTCCGTATTTAAAACAAATAAAAAAACCTCTACCTGTAAGTGCCAGCTCATTATAAGGCATCACCTACTTGAAACTCATAAGATTTTATTTAAAAAAACCCCAATCTTTACCTGTAAAATGTGCTGTATTCATGTCAGCAGAGAAGTTCTCCAAGGTGAAGCAGTAGCTCTTCTCTCTTGCTTTCTGATTTTCTACCCATTCTTGTGCCAGCTACGTGTTGAAAAGTAAATAAAAATACTTTGAAGGGTTTAGTGTACCAGAAGAAAAACTCATCATGACTCAAAGGGCAAATACACTACATAGAAATAAAAGAAAGCTGTCAGACTGCCAGGTAAATATACCAAGAACCTTACCCAGTTCTTTTTTTCACATCAGCATACACATTATATGTAAACACACAGGGCAAACAAAATTGCTTCCTCCCCACTCACCCATTTAATAGACTTTCTTAAAGCTCTTCAAAACAAATGTCGGTTCCCCCAAGTGCACTTTCACCTAAAATATTAATATCATTCTGGCAATGACTTAATTTTTTTACCTTATTTCTATGGAGGAAATCATGCAATGACTGAACTTGAAAGCAGTCAGACATCAACTCCATGAACACTGACTTTTGTTGTTATTAAACTATAAACTATTAAAGTTTGGGAAAAACTACTTCTTGGATTAACCAGCACTCACATAAGTTCTCAAGAGAAATCTAAACAGTAGGGTTTTATCCTGTTTTTACAAATGCTGTCACTGAAGGACCTCAGTTTCTTAAGGGTTTCTGCTTTGAGCTTTATATTCTCTAGAGGAACCATCTCCTTTGCCTCTCATTTTACATGTTATTGTGGATTTGCACCCAGGAGGAATAAAAAACCCAAAACACTTCACTGAGGTGAATAAGCCTGGCAGTCCCCAATCTTAAAACAGAACTGTCTAGGTTATTTTCCCCAAATCATTCCTCTACTCTGATCTGTATCTCAACATTTACAGATGGTAAAAACGGAGAACATAAAGCAGATTTTAATCTCTTGGTAAAATTTACCAGGGTCGATGCAACCAAACCGAAAGGCAGAAAGCTACTCACTGTTTCAAAGGCGTTCAGCATCATCAAGGGGAAGAAGGTATTAAAATAGTCATTGTAGTCCTGAAACTGGACAGGAACAGAGGCTACCACAGACTGCAGGAGGTGATTTGGAGTTCCGAAGTAGCTGAAGTTGGCGAACATCTCGTAAGTCCACGTCAGGACCTGATTAACGAAGATGCTGTGATCGCGCTGCTGAGCGCCGAGGAAGGAGGAACACACTCCTCGTGCAGAGCCTCTGGAGATGTTCAGAGCGTTGTCATACTGCCTGTTCTGCGACTGCAGGACGCTGTTAGACAGCTGGGGTCGAGGTACGTGGCTGAGGCCTGGAGCCCTGCACGGCTGGTTTCCCACTGGCGCGTACGCTCTCGGGAGGGGCGGCCTGACCACGGCGGGTTTGGCCGCGTTCACTTTGCTTTTGGAAGGAGGCGGCGGCTTTTTGACGTCCTCCAGGTCCTTGCTGAAGGCGGCGTTGCGGGAGGAGCTTGCTGAGCTGAAGATCTTGGTAGTGGAAGGTTTTCTGGCTTTGGGAGGTAGCAGAGAAGGTTTGGCGAACACGTGGTCCGCTCCTGAGCTGGTGGCTGTGTGTTCACTGCAGGACTCTCCTGCTTTTTCCACTTTCTCCACACAGCCTTCGTGTTTACATGTTGGAATAGCTGGGGACTCGTTCTGCTGAGGGTTTTCAGCAGCATTCGTTTCCTCTGGGGTTTTAGTATCTACAGCAGTATCTTCAAAACTTTCCTCCTGAGAACATAATTCCATGTCCACGGGATCTAACTGAGTTAAAAACAGATTATCATCATCATCATCATCTTCATTGCTTTCATATGATTTACAACCACTTGAAGTTTTCACCTTGTTCTCAGGCAGGACAGTGCAACTTTTTCCTGCAGATTCATCTTTATCATCTGCAAGTGCAGTGTAAGACAGACTTGAATCCATAGGGACAGGAGCTATCCCACTGCTATCCTCCCATTTTCTGTTCCAGTCTGAAGAGCCAGGCGTTTTAGAGGCACACGCCCCCCCTTCCACAGACAGGCTTCCAAATTTTCTCTCGCCAGCAGACGGACCAGCAGTTTCCTCTCTTTGATTTTCCCCAAACGCCAGCTCAAAACTCGGAGCCTTTTGTCCCACAGGCTTCACGCACACCCTGACGCCTCTTCTGTTCCTGCTCTCAGAGCTCCCCGCCGGACTCCTCACCCGGGCGCTTCTCTTGGGCCTCATCTGCCTGAAGAACTGGCGGTCCTGGCAGGCCAGCAGCTTCTTGTTGCGCTTCACGGACAGGCTCTGGGCGTCGATGAGCTTGGTCCGCAGCCTCTGCGCGGCGCCCACCCTGCCCGCGGCCTTGCCGTGGCTGCGCAGCTGGGCCACGCTCTCCCGCGACGGCTGCGACAGCTCGAAGGCTCGGCGGGGGCCCTTCTTCAGCCCCAGCTTCTCCGCGGTCGAGGTGGGAGCAGGACGCTGCCGGGCTCTCCTCGGGGGCACCACGGCAGGCATGGACCTGCCGGGCTCAGGGGGTTTGGAGGCGCTTGAAGGGAGGGGTTTTTTGGGTTGGGTTGTTTTGACAGCAGGGTTTTTGGGGCTCCTCTGGGCAGTTATGGCTAATTTAGGTTTTGCCGCGGTGGCCTTCGGGGGGCTCGTGGTGTTTTTCTTCCAGGCCAGCTTTGAAGCCAGTGAGGTGGTAGATGTAGATGCTCTGGGTTCAGGCAATGGTGAGCCCAGGGCGAAGCCTTCAGCAGCAGCACCTTTGTCTGCAAATTCCTCCAGCTGCCCTTTTGCGTCTTCCTTTCTAACAGATTCTTGCAACATCAAGTTTGTTGCCTCTTTTTTATCATCAGCTTCTTTCTGATGAGAAACATCTTCTATCTGCTTTTCTACCGAGCTTGCTGTTTCTTGCATAGTATCATCACTGAGGTAATCCAGATCATAACCCCACTCGTTTATGCTACTGTTCAGGAAGTCATCTGAACTACTGTCAACTGCTGTTGAAACATCACCTTGTTTGTACTCCTGGGTTGCTTCCGTAGCATAGGCTTGAGTATCTTGCCAAGCTGAAAACACCTCAGCATCTGTTTCAAACTCAAAGAACTGAGAATCACAGTCATCCATTGACAAGGGAGGCCTTGGAGATTCTGATTCCATTTTGACATCAGTATCAGAAGTGCTGTTGGAAAATGAAGGCAGCTTTGCAGGACAAGCATTTTCGTCCTTGGTTTTTGCTTCCTCCTTGTCACCTGCACCTTTTTCTTCATCAGAAGAGTCTGAAATTATAATGACTTGATTGTCACGGCAATCTCCATCACAGAGAGACCTGGTTCCTTGGCCTTCATTGGAAGATCTTACAGCACCTTTCACTCTCCTCCTAATATCACTTAGATTCTGGTACACTGAGCTTTCCTGGCTTGACTCCAAGGGAAAATTGACACTTTTGGCATAAGCAGCTAAAGATAATTTACTGAGTTCTCTATCAACCTGGGAGTCTGATAAAGTATCATCTTCAGAAGACATCTTCCCAAAATCCTCTTCTTTCCCCTCTGAACTGTTTTCCCTCTTGAAATATTCTGAAAACGTCAACAACCTGTCACTTGATTCATGCTTCACGGACAGTGGCCTGATCTGAAGAGCAGGGTTGGACACATCCCTCTTGTTTTCAGACCTAGATGGAAAACAGCCATTTGCTGAAACTTTAGTAGTACAAAAGGTGTTTGAAATTTGATGTTTACAGTCGTATTTAGCCAGGTCATTGAAATTAGGCTGGTCCCAGTCTGAACTTGGCATGTCAGTGTCAATACTGTTATCTTCCTTCTCTTGCATACCAGGTCCATTTTTAGGGCAGTTAGAGCAATCCAGTGATGTTTCTTTTGATCCCTGTTTAGTGGGGACTCTGGATTGAAACAAGCTGTTTACACTAGTCTCCTGCACACTTCTGCAATTCCTTGAAGATGAAGACCCAAGATGAGTTTGAGCAGATAGATAACATGCTGTTGAGGGTCCTGCTTCCTCTTTGACTTCCAGCTCTCTGCCCCTTCTGAAATCTGAATGCTGGGCATTTGGCTTAAAGCCCTGATTATCCATATTGCATTTCCCTGCCACAGAGTCATCATTCCTATTTTCCTGAACTTTTCTACGTAGTTTTGCTGCCAAAGAGTTCTGTGGGAAGATAAATTCCTGAGCTGCTGAATCATCAGGTTCCTTTTTAATATCCGTCAAGACGCCTCCTGTGGATGTCCACGATGTTGAACTTTTAGGTGCATCTCTAGATTCCTCTTCCCAGGCATTTTTCCTTCTAGGGAAAAGGTTCCCTTGACAATCTCCACTTTCCTTTGATATGACAGATGGAGAATAAAGGTCACCTCTCTCATGTGCACTCGCCCTGAATCCATCATCGCCCACATTCCTCTCCTGCTTTAGAGAAACAGTTGGCAAAGCTGTAGAGTTTGAATTGCTCCCTTTGGCCAAAGAGGCACTCAACGCTCTGCCCTTTATACTCCTCAAAACCTGCTTCAAGCACGTCTGTAACTCCTGGGTCTCCTGGATGTTCAGCTGCCAACCCATAGAGAGATTTCCTCGCAGGAGGAGGTTGAGCTTGTCCAGGTACCTCTTGCAGAGGGCCTGCTGCCCAATCTGGTAGCCCTCCTTGAGGAGGCTCCGTATGAGCTGCACACAGGCGTGCTGCACCGAGTTGGAGGCTTGGAAAGATCCTGCAGATGAGCCTTTCCCACAGGGCCCAGAGGTTTTGTCCGTGTGCCACGTGAACACCCTGGCTGGAAGGGTGGCACATCTCACCACTGCTTCCACCCACTCCTGGGAGCTGATCCACAGCAAGTGCAGGCATTTTTTATTCCTGTGGAGTTCAACGATGCACACCAAGATGAGGAGGAAAAACTCCGAGATTCTGTCACACTGCTGGAGGTTTTCAATGAGAATATCTTTGATTTCCGAGCACAGGTAGTGGATGACCTCTACTATGTAGGCCACGCCCAATTCCTTGAGATCCATGAGCGACTGGACAAAAGGGATGAACCAGAGGAAGGTGCTGGGATGGACACGCGTGTCTTTGCCGATGTTGGACTGCAGCACGTTAGCCAGTGTTTGCATATCTTCATACATGTTGGGGCAGTACTCTGGGCAGATGGCAGCCTTCCAGCCAGAGTCCTGGAAAACAAAGCCACCACACATCAGCCTCACTGACCAGCACATCTGCAGTACCAGCTATGAGAGTGGGAAAGGACATGAAAGAATGTGAAAGACACAGAGGTAATAGAAGAGTGTTGTTAAAAAGCTGTATAAAAGACTGCTGCTTGATTCAAATAAATGGTGTTCTCTGATCATCATATTGGTGTGTTGAGTCGTCCGTGCTCGCATGAAAACCCCACGATATCCCCGCATGCAGCAAAATTTAAGAAAATGCAAAAAATAAAGACCAAACGTGTATAAGCATCTATTTTCCTAAAATGTAACCTATGAAGTCAGTGAAATAGAAGTTCCTTTAAAAATCATTGTGAACTCTCCAATGTTATGCTGACATAGTTTAACCTCAGGTAATCAAATACATATTTAAAGCCTTTATAAAGACACTTCATGAATACAACACATCAAGAGAAGAGCATGTTCACTAATGTTTTTTTCTTGTTACAAAGCAGAGTAATGACCACAGTTCAAAGAACAGGAAAATAAAATAATAATTTAATACCTTTTGAGGCTTTTCTGTGTTGTAATTGTACACAATCTGACTGCAAGTAATCATGTCATCACCGTAGTCTGACTCTGGTTCAGTTTTTGTCCTAAAAAGAAACACAGAAAAAAAGTCCCAACAAGTGTAACAGGCATCAGACTTGCCAAAAAGTAGCAAGTACATATTTACTGAAAGTACCTCACAATTTTAAGGGATCTACTTCAACTTTCCATTGATTGAAGATGGAAACGTTTGTGTTTTTTTTGGTTTTTTTTTTTTTTTTTTACTTGCCGTTTCCCTCTCCCCCAACACAAGTTACAGCAGCACTGACAAGAAATCCAAGATCAGGTTCTACTCTAAATTCATACAACTGTTCTACCCTCTTAACAACACTGACCTCATAAAGCTATTGCGTATATTTTTGATTTCATTTTTGTAGCTCTCACTGTTGATAATGGTTTGAAAGGCTTGGACAGGATCAATGAGCTGTCCCCAAACTTTAGATCCGAGTTGATCCAAAATAACCATGAAACAATGCAGGGCAGGCCAGAAGGGGTCAGTGGAATCACCTGAAATACAACAGCAACAGTGGGGACAGTTGAAATGCAAGTCCTGGACATTCTTAGACTAAGCTGAAAATAAAAAGTAGTTGGTTCTCATTGATTTTTCTTAAATATCAATGTAAAAAGAAGTATTCTGGTAAGTTGCAACTATACTTTTTAACCTGGAGAAAGGATGGAAAAAAAGTCAAGCTCACTGATCTGTAGAGAGACACTGCTCCTTAGGCAGCCTTAAATCAACAGGAGCCTGGATGCCCTTTGTTAATATTAAATAATACTAATATTTCTCAACTCTATGAAATGGTTTCTTTCACACTGATTTTTGCTGGGCTGTGCTACGAAGTGGCACAGCTTACACAGCTTTGACAATTTATACTTTACATTTATAACAGAAGCAATTGGTTTCCCTTCAAGTGTGTTCTTCCTCCTTCATGTAATATATTCTTAATTAACACACTAAGTTTATAGAGATCTAGTAATTTAAGAGGCAGTTCTGGTCTTGAGCTCATGTGCCACTCCCAGACTATGCCATGGCACGTGACCTACAAGATCTACACAAGGGTTGATAATCTAAATTATAAATCTAAATTTCCAGCTGCAAAAGGGGGACCCTCAAATAGACAGATGGAAGAGTCAAATTCTAAGGCAAGCTGCAGCAATTCAGAAGTGTTCCTTTACTTTAAGACTCAAAATTCTAACTTCATGCCACAATGAAATGTGCATTCTGGATGCACAGGCAGCCTGTACATTAAATGAAAATAATGATGGAAATTATAGATTTGTCCTCTCAAATCTGCCCTAAACCAGCCTCAGGTAAAGCACTGCCATCCCTCCTCCACTTCACACTCTGAATGTCATTCTTCAGCATTTGTCAGCAGTGCCCAAATATTGTGCACCTTCCAGAAGATAAATAAGCCTCAGTTAAAATCACCTCATCATTACACTAGTAAGAACTTAATTAAGCAAAAAAGTTTGATAAAGATGACAAACAGTCTATGAACTGTCTTTAAGTATCAAAATTAGTTACCAGCTGCTTCTTTCTCCATAGTGTGAAGTATGGACTGCATGAAATCATTCTGTTTGTCTGGGCCCAGCAACAAAGAGTCCATAGCTTGTTCTTCCAGCACTGACAGCAACATGCAAATCCCTAGAGACGAATGGGAAAAAGGAAACAACCTGTCTGCATATCTGCAAAAATTCGTTCAAATTTTCACCAAATCCAGGATCATTTTCCAAATGCCATTACCAGTGAAACACGTGAGAAAAGAGATGAGCAGCAATACGAAACTAATTAAACAAAACCTCATTATTGCAGCTGTGCAACATTCAATTCTCCCTTTGACACAGCACCTATGAAACTGCAGAGCTCTGACTTGAAACAAGTGCTTACAAACGTGAGAGACTCCCCAGATTCGTTTCTGATCATAAATACTCACCCAGCCAGTAATTCTTGTAGTTGGTTGTATCATACAAGTGTGCTGGCAGAAGGATGAGTTTACCCTTCTCGTACATTGAAGAGCTGTAAATATCTGGATTCTCAAAAAGCCCCAGCTCAATAACTTTGAACAAACAAGTCAGCACTTCTTCTAAGTCGTAGTAATCATCCCTGTCAACCTTCCCTAAATTCCTTGCTGTTAGGATGGCCCAGCGGCGAATCTACGGATTGAAATAAAAAGTGATGCATTAATAAAGAGAACAAATAAAAATCACAATTCTGTAAGATTATCGTTGCTGCTACAAATGGGAAAAGGGCATATTTTTACTAACAGAATAATTAAAAATCAGTCTTTCTCCAAAACAGCCTTAGGACCAGGCTCAGTATACAGCTACTCAGTATTAACATAGTGCATGAAACCAGAATTCACTGGAATTCAGCAGAAGAGAAAAAGGAACTTACCACCTCATTGGGGTGCACCAAAAAGAGATAAATTCCTGGGTATTTTTCAAAGACCTGAAAGGAGTCGTGGCCGAGTTCCATCCTACAGAGCACTTCCACACACAGCTCACCTAAAAGGGTAAGTAAGACACAGCTGTAGTAAGGACTAATCTGTAGGCTCACAAAAAAAAAAAAAACTATTTAGTGTCAAAATAAACAAAAAAGATACATACATGCACACTGATATTTTGGCTTAACTACTGTTTGTTACTTTCACCCTCTTCATTGGAAACACCACCATTCCTTCCACGGGTGTGTGATCAGATACTCACTGACTCTCTCATGCAGCAGCAAGTAGGGATATTTCAGGATTTCTAGAAGGGGCACTCGCAGGTTATTCTCAAAATCAGGGCCCATGTAACCAGACAGCCGAGTCTCTCCATTCTCATCCACTAGAAACAACTCATCCTCTTCCCCGCCTTCTTCCTGCATGGATTTCTCCATGTGGGCAACAAGACGGGCCGTTTCCAAGTCCCACAGGTCCTGTTCACAGTGGGGAAAAACGACTAATCAAAGTGCATTTGTGAAGGAGGTGATTTAAGGACATTTATTATCACATGTAGACACTTTAACTGAACTTCCAAAATTCCAGATTTCATTTTGAAAAGCTTCTTTCTAAGCGTGGCACAAAACACCGAAGCTTTGGCGCAGAATTCAACTGTGCAAACCACAAAACTCTCACTTCAGGTTAGCATTTTTTTTTAAAAGAGCAGCCTTCAAACCAGGAGCAATTTTATAACTCTGCTAAACATTTGTATTTCAGTGAGTATTTCAGGCCACTGGCCAATACACAGAAGGACACGGTACAGGAAAATATCATATTTAGGAAGATGGGAAAAGCAATTTTGTCATGTTGCCCTCTCATGGACTTTGCAATTAACAGAAGGAAAACAACATAAACATTGCAAACAGACCAACTGACTGGCTGGATATGTGTAGGGATTTGCTCACTCTACATGGATACTGGATACTAGTGAGGGAGAATTGCAAAATACTTCTAATAAAAAATGAAGGGGTTTCAAACTTTTCTGATTGCTTTTAATTGCACGGTCTCACAGACTTGCAAGGCCTGACCTCTGAAATTCAAACAGAGGAGAAAACTACAAGTGAGAAGTGAAAGCAAACAAAAAAAAGGAAAGTAAAAAAAAACTGCAGAAATGTTAGTCTGGCAGATGTTCTTTGTTTCACATGACAAAGCACCACAGCATGAATAAAGTCCAGATTATACTGTCTAGTCAGCAACTTCCCACTACTGTTTTAGTTCTTGCTAATTTGAATATATGCAAAACAAGAGGGTCTTCCCTTAACAATCAGCTGTTTACAGCTCCATGTGAAAAGAGCACAGTTCAAAAACCAACACACTCTGTTCCCAAAAAACAGCAAAACACAACCCCAGCATAAAACTCCCCCTACACCGAGGCTGGCACACACAGAAGCCTCTTAATTAATCCCTTAATTACCTTATGCAACCTTGGGCACTCTTGCCTTGCCTTGTGGTATTCGACCACACACTCCAGGCAGTAACTGAGATCATCGTTGGATCCCTCAAACTCCTCCTGGGACAGCTGTTCAGTGGCATAGTGCTTCAGGAACTCGGTGGTGTCAGGGCCACTCGGGGTGCACCATCGGCATGTGCTCATTCTGGGGGTGGGAAAAACGAGGAATTAACAAAGTCCAAGGCCTGGAAGAGGCAAAATGTTTCCCAGCAGCTCACAACAGCAGCTACTTTTCAGGTGGGATGAGCTTCAGGATTTCTGGGGCTCGTTAGCAGAGTAGATGCAGGTGTTCTTATACAGATCTACAGGTGCAGGTAGTTAAACAGATTAAAGCATTAAAGGAACATCATCACAGAGAAAAGCCTGGAGAATGGCAAACAGTAAGAGTAAAGCACCAAAGAGAAGTCAAATTTGTAGACTGTGAAATAATGAGTGAAAATTCATTTTTCACACACACACACACAAATCTCCACCATAAATAATGCAATTTCTAGAACTACAATGCTAAAGCTCTTTGTATTAATTTACAGGTGACTGTGGAATCTAGGTCTAGTGCCACAGAATTTAATTAGCTTTTTTCCCTTATCTCCTGCTAAAATTTATAGGTCAACAAATCCCTGTTGTCACAAGCAAAGGATATTTAGGGAGAGCTTTGCTGCCTTCATTACTGTTAGAGTTACAAAGTGTGATAGAATTCTCACCACAGATTGCTTCCTCCAAAAACAGAAGGTCTTCACTAAGCAGCAGCAGAGTCATCTCAGACCCTGCTGGTCTGAAAAACTCAGCAGAACACTGGAATCACAGAATGCTTTGGGTTGGAAGGGACCTTAAAGACCATCTCATTTCACCCCCTGTCATGGGCAGGGACACCTTCCACTAGTCCAGGTTGCTCCAAGCCTGTCCAACCCGGCCTTGGGCACTTCCCAGAGATAGGGCAGCCTCAGCTTCTCTGGGCAACCTGTGCCAGGGCCTCCCCATCCTCACGGGGAACAATTTCTTCCCCATATTTCCTCCAACCCTGCCTCTCTGTCAGTGTAAACCCACTCCCCCTGGTCCTATCACTACAGTTCCTGATGGAGAGTCCCTCTCCAGCTTCACTGTAGGCCCTTTCAGTGACCTTTCAGATACTGGACGACTGAAAAAGCACAAACACTTGAACTACCTGTTTAAAAAGAAAGATGGTAACTGCCTCCCTTATTCAGCGTAACAAAGAAAGCCAGACGAAGCCAAACCATAGTCGTCATATTGGGAAAACCCCAACAATTACCTCTGTGGCCTTTACCTTTGGAAAGGGAAGCTCTTTGCTGTGCAGGTGTGCCAGTCACATCGTGGGAAGGAGAATAGCACTGCCCTGCAGGCAGGAAAGGCAGCTGAGCCCTTCAGCCATCCATGCCCTGCGAGCAGCAGAGCACAGCAGAGTCCTTAGCAATCCATCCCCTGGCGACCGAGTCCCGGCGGTATTTCGAGGATCTACAGCAGCAAAACAGAAATCAAACCACTGAGTCACAGAATCAACCAGAAAAGACCTCTGAGATCTTCGGGTCCAACCTGTGCCTGATCACCACCTTGTAAGACCCAGAGCATTGAGTACCACCTCCACTTGTTTCTTGAGCAACTCCAAGGATGAAAACTCCCCCACCTCTCCAGGCAGCCCCTTCCAATGTTTAACAGCCCTTTCTTGAACAAATTCTTCCCGATGTCCACCCCGAACATCCTCTGGCACAGCTGCAGGCTGTGTTACCTCCCCTGTCACTGGCTGCGGGGGAGAACAGGCCGACTCCCACCTTGCTCCACCCTCCTCGCGGGCAGTAAATCACCACAAATACTTTCAGAATCGCTCTGGCATTTAGGATAACACCGGCTGCATTGAGCGGACCCCACGAAGCGATAGGGAGGCTCTGCAACCGAATCCCTCCCGTCCTTCCAGCTGGGGGGGGGGGGGGGGGTACGACAACACCCGCTTGGCCGAGAAAAGATGTAAACATTTATCTACCCGCGTAAAGCAAGGAAACCGCTTTAAAGGACGCACACGAACCCGGGCTGCGAGCGAAGCCTTCCCCCCGTAACGCCGCTACCGGCTGAGGAGCCCCGGCCCCCGCAAGCACTTTCGGTTTCGCGGTTGGAGCAACCCCAATAACCCCAACAACCCCAACCCTGCCTCCAACCCCCGCAGCGCCCCGTGCTCCCCCCCAACAGCTCCCCCGGGCCCCGCCGCCCCTTCCCGCCAAGCGGGGCCGGCCCGACGCGAAGGGCGCTGAGGCGGCCTGAGGGCCCCGCGCTCGGGGCGCGCCGGGGGCAGCGCGGGCTCGGCGGCGGCAGCGGCGGCTCCGGGCGGGCGGTCCCGGCGGTCCCGCTCCTCTCTGCCTTGCTCTGCCCTCACCTCACACCGCTCCCCCCGCTCCCGGCGGTGCCACCCTGAGGCCGCCGCGCCCCCCACGTTTCCGGGCGCGGTCGGAAGCGGGTGCTCGGCTGCCCGGGCGGGAGGGGCCTTAAAGGGCCAGCGAGGGGGCGCTGAGGGGCGGGCAACCCTCCAGGGTGGGATTAAATAAGGACTGGAATAGTCGGGAGTTCCTGGGGCGGTGGAAGCCGCTCGTGGATGCCGCTGGTGCCTCTTGGTGCGAATCCCACATGGGGCAGGAAAAGGGCTGGTCCCTGCTCAGGCCTGGCTCCTCCTGGGGCTGGGGGATGAAGCTACTGACCCTCTGGGTCACAGGGGTGACACCACCCCACAGCCTGGGGGGGCTCTGAGACAGCAAACAGGGATCACCCTCCTTCCATGAACTCTCTGGGGATGGTCCTGGGCAGGGCCAGGACTTGGACTCGATGATCCTTGTTGGGTCCCTTCCAGCTCAGCATATTCTGTGATTCTTGGTTGGATTTAAAGAAACTCACTCAGCACCGGAGTTTATCAGTGTTGAGCAGCATCCCTTTTTATTGACAGTGCTGGAGAAGCATTGGGGATAGTCCTCCATGAATGCCTCCAAGGAAATTACAAAAGCAAAAACCTTTTATTTTCTAAGGTCTTTGAAGATTCACGTTAAATCCCACCTTTCTATGCCTCCTTGCTATATAAGTCTTTGGTTTCTAGTCCATAAAAATCCTTTGTATGATGTAGCCTTTTTGTCTTGGATGAATTACTTCTCAACCTTGAATGTCAAATGCTGATTGGTTACTTGTCTGCTTGAAGAGATACATCCTAATAACTTGCAAAAGTTACGTGTTTTTTTCCAGTTGCAAAAGCTATGTCCCTTATCTAAAAGTAAGAAAATTCTCAGCAAGTTAACCAAAAATGCAAGGTTATTACATTAGAAGTATACATGACTTCAGCTTACAATAATTCTACAGGAGTTCTTTATTAACTATTTTCTATTTATATGTTAGTTTATTAAAATCTTAAAAAGTAAAACAATTAAAAGAAAACCTTATCCATACTAATAAATCCAGGCTTAATGGGGAATATACAGGATTCAGCAGCTTTTCACTGTACGATATTTAACAGCTCTCTCTCAGACTCGATGATCTTTGTGGGTCCCTCCCAACTCAGCATATTCCGTGATGATTGCGTGATCCTTGTTTAAGACCTTACAGGTGCAGGGGGTGAAAAAAGGCAAGTCCTTGTTTGATCTGCAGCTGCTGCCATCGTAACACTCCTCAGCTTTGAAGTGTGTCTCTGCTGCAAACACAACCCTTGGAACTCATCTGTCTCTGCCTTTGATAACACCACACAGCTGAGTTTTCTGCTGTAACACCACTCAGGCCATGAGCACGTCAGGAAAATGCTTGAAGAGACACATCTGCTTGAAACACCCAAGTTTTTAGGTGCTTTTTCAAGTGCTTTCTGCACTTGAAGGATCTGTCATGCTCTTATTTATAATGCAGCCTGATACACAAAGCTTTGTCAGTGTTGTTTCCCCTCAGCCTTCTGTGAAGTCTGTTTGGTGGTTGTTTTTTTTTTTAAACCTCTGCAGAGTTTGCTGTTAGCAATAAGATTTAAATATCCACGTGAAACAACTGCCTTCTTTTGTCTGTGTTCCCATAGGCCTGGGTAAGAGGATGGCAAAGGGAAAAGCTCCTCGTGCCATTATTCAGCACCTGGGAAGCCATCAACAACTGCTCTCCTCCTGCAAATGGATCACACCCACTTCACCCAGGGAGATGCAGGTAAGGAGTTTCCTTACTCCACTCCCAGGGACACGCACTTTTTTCTCAGGTGTTTTCCCAAAGCAGCCAGTGCAGTGATGGCTTCAAGTTTACAGTTCCTGCCTTGGTTTAGGAACATTTTGCAGAAAAACAGCTTTTAACAACTATCAGGGAGTCTTTTTTTTTTTTTTTAGGAATTTCTGTGATGTAGCAAGAGGCCTCGTGCCCTGCAGTGACCCTGTGAGCTGGAATGCTCCTGGCTCAAGGCCAAGGGAGTGAAAATACCTCATGAAAATATTTTGGAAGGTGGTTTTGAAGCCCAAACATGCAAGATAATGACAGCAGGGAATGAGATAGCAGAGCTAAAACAAAGACAGCTATCTCCCCCTAATGAGGCTGAGGTGCAGCTGGAATGCAGGGTAGGTGAGTGCCTGCCCTGGAGCAGGGAAACCTCTCCAAGTTGGAGATTCTTTGCCCAACATCCTTCATTGGCCAAAGGTGAGAGATCCCTTACTCTGAGAGATCCTTGGTTAAGTGAGTGACAGCCACGGGATTGGTACTAAAGAAACATTGCTAATCCATGTGGCTACCCAGTATTAATTATAAATTTTATATATATAAATCACTGACTGTGTGTGGGACTAAGCCTGGATCCAGTTGCACCCAGACTCCTCTCTGAGACCCCCTCTAAGGGGTCCACTCTGAACCTCATGACTCAACAGGAGGGTCTTTCTTACCCTTTGTATCTCCAGCCTCTTTGTGAATCCATTCTAACTTGATTCTAACTCAATTTTCTTCTGTGTGTCTCTTCCATGCAGTAATGAATAAGGTGAACTTTGCCATCAAACTCCCTGAATCTTGATAAACCACTGTTAAAACTTTGAATTCCACTGAATTTACCTCAGTAAAACATATTGCTGCTTCTCTTTTTTAAGTGAGGTGCATTCCACTCATCCACAACAGTTTTCCTTTAAAGCAAAGAATAAAACTAAATCTCATTATGGAGGTAGAAGTTTATTTCTGTGAGATCTACTCTACAAACTCTACAACCAGGCAACTGTTTGTGCTCCAGCCTGCAGACAATTCAGAGATCTCCATATTCCTTGAGAAACACAAACTTTGTAGATGTAAAAGTCCGAGTTTTTCAGCTCTTAACCTTCAAACCCATAAAGTAAAAGAAGGACGGGTGTATGTTTTCTTGCCCTCTGCCCCACTTCATGTCTTGGCTGGCAAACTTACCCTCATGCCAGTGGCTGATCGTGCCTGTCCCACAAGAATCATCATTTTCTATCTTGAGAGAGACCAAAGCCACACGCAGTTAAATATGGCAAGTTCTCCTTTAAGATCCTTTGCTACAAATCACGTTCCAGACCCTCCAACAAGGCCTTTATTTCAAGCTGTTCAGAGTTCTGGATTTTCAAAAACAGTTATTAAAGAACTTATCAAAATGACCCTCAAAAAGCAGAGCCTGAGTCTTCTTGCATTGCTTTCTAAAAAAAACAGCATATGAGAAATACAAACAAGCCATACAAACATTTTACACAGTAAGGTATTTTGGGGGTTTGGGTTTTTCTTTTTGCAGTCAATTTACAGATAATCACTCTGGGCAGAGAGATAAAAATATCATACAAAGCCATAAGTAAAAGCTACATCTTATTGCTCAGTTTTCTTATCAAAATGTAGAAATTCTCCTTAACACAGTAAAAGTATGTATATGCACATGTATATATATATATATATATTTACACTGTCTGTCTCTATATTCCAAACATGAACAAAAACATTTCGAATGCATTGTTTTGGTTTTCTCTTGAAACGACATTACAATTTATGAACAGAAATGGACAAGTATCCTTTTTCTCTGGGAGGGTTGAGAAAAGTGTAAATCTACATCAAAAATAAAATCAGGTGCTTTTAAGAACAAGATATACCTGTTAAAAAAAAAAACCTCAAAAGTTGTGCTGTTTCCATCAACACAGACGTTTCAAGATTTGGTTATTACAGAGATTTAAAACCAAATTGAAAGTCTTTTTCCCATGACATGAATTTTAAATAACTTTAAAAAAATAAAGTTCTGAAAACCAAGTTTATTCATCAAAGGAAAACAGCAGTTTTTAATTTCACAGGAAACAAATCAGTAAAAAAAATCGTATGTTAAGACATTTAAAAAGCAATGAAGGCTTCTAAACCCAGAACTAAATGAAAGTAATAAAAAGTGGCTCAAAAGCTCTACTGAACTGTCTTCAACATGGAAGAAGAAAATCAGACGTGCCCATCTTGACTTTTCCCATCACTCCACAGCCTGTGTACCTGCAGTTGCTGAGCTGCACCCACTCTCAACCAGATCCATCTGCAGTTTAAAATGCAAATGAGGAGTTGCTTTTAGGACAGTCCCATTTAATCACTCTCTTCACCGGAGTCAAAAATGTCACTGAGTCGGAAAGCCTTTTTCTCCTGACTGGCTGATAAATCATCAGAACTGAGGTGCTTTTTTCTTAACTGTTCTTCTAATTCTGGGAGCTTGTATTGAAACAGAAAATCCATAATTTCTAGGGGGCAAAGAAGAAAAAAAAAAGGGAAAAAAAAGTATTTTAATTGGATCTGTAAGGGAACAGAAGCTCACAGACAGAAATTTAAACGTTATGTTAAATGCACAAAATGTCTGAATTGTTCTGGTCACAGGGGCTGCAGGGACACCACTGCATACAAACATGCAAAGATAAGTTAAAATGCACAGTCAGAAAACTTTTAGAGCCAAGGCATTAAAAAGAAGAGGTTCGCATGCACTGCGCAAAGACGACATTGGAAATTATAAAACAAAAAACCAAACATTCAGTAAAATAAGCATAAAGCCCAAATATTTTAGCCAAGTAGGGGAAAGTTATGTAGGAATGTGTGTAAATACAAACAGCTGGGATACTGACCAGGAAAAGTCTTTTTTTGCCAAAAAGGGACAAAGGAGACTTTAAGCCTATAAAACAGGGCTTGGAGATAGGCTCCAGTGACATCTCTGCAAAGAGAAGAGGTCAAAGAATCAGTGGTGCAATGAACTGTCACAAAGCTTGGTTGTTACCGAGTCACCCATTCATGAAAGTGATGCCAGTTAAAAAATATCTTTAGGTAGAAAGGAGGGAATTCAAACTGTAATTAAAACAGGTTTTCAGGACAGCAAATCCCCTTGAGGGTAAGAACCTGCACGGTGCCATCGCACACGTTAAATGAAAGTATGTGGAAAAAGGGGAAGTTCAGCATTCACAGGACTGGTAATCTCATATTCAACACTCCTTTAGTTGGAAGACAACTGTTCTATTGTATTACACAATGAAGAGTTTCCTGATGTGGTTAAAAGCAAGTTCCAGATCCTGTAGGGATGGTTTCCTGCTCAGTGATATGCCAGGATATACACGTATGTTGTCAAACTGAACAAATGCTGTGGTTACAGAGCTCTAAGAATTTTGATTCATCTGCTTCAACTACCCTTTCTACCCATAAAAAGAGGGGGGGGAAAGGTTTACCCAATAGCATCACAGAGTTCTTCCCAGTTTACTTCATTGGCATCCTCCACTTTCATTTCATACAGCCTGCAAAGGCAAGACAGGAACAGATTGCAGGCAGAATTCAAGGCAGAATTCAGTGTCCCCAGCTCCCCCAAGTCAGAAGGCACAGGACATTTAGCCCAGAGTAAAAATGGTTGCAAAACACATATCGAGCTGCAAGCAGGCTGTTCTCCCCCTGCAAGCTTTTATAAACCATCTCAGAACCAACATCCCAGTGCCTCTGAACTGTACCTTTTAATGAGAGTGATCTTGTTCTGTAATCTCTTGATCCATATATCTAACTGCTGCCCCTTGGACATCTTCTCTACCAGAATTGAATTCCTTTGAAAACACACAAAAACAGGTTTCTATCATTCCAAGCATCCAGATGCTACTGCTGTCACAGAGAGGCAGAAATCAGGCTTTGCTATCACAGCAAAAAGAAAACTTAATCCAGCTAGCAAGGAGTTATTTGTCTCAGACACATTTCTAACATTACACATCCTACCAAATGATCATGACAGCACAAAACAAAGAAGAAATACTCCCCAGAACACATCTGATTCTCTCAGGTGAGTACAAACCCTTACCATTTCTGTTTACATTGTCTCCAGTATCGACTCCCCACTTTGGTTTCAATCTCAGTCCATGGTAGGTGCTGGCACAGTTTCTCGCGGTCAACCCAGAGATCTCTGTCTGGCTGTTCCAGTGAGGAAGATCTTCCATGTTCCACTCTTTTCCTTATCACTTCCTTCACTGCATGCTTCAACTTCTGGACCTCTTCCTTTCTCCAAGGACCGTAATTAATAGCTAAGATTGAAAGAACACAGATTGAGGTGTAATTTATCATAAAGGATTAGGAAAAAAGGCAAAAAACCAAGTGTTTCACTTTGTGTTGTTATTATTTATAGACCAGCTTCTTAACACACCTCCTAGAAACTCTTCTCCACACCAGACTTGAGGGTTCAGCCTCATCACTAAAGATGTGTAGGGTACATACAACATCCAGTTCTAATATAACTTCTCAAATTGCATTACACAGAATTAATGGCTTTTCTTAAAATCACATACCTGACTTGATTTCAGAGAATTTCATAGCAACTGAGAGGTTAGAACGGGACATCAACTCAGAAATCTTCTTCCAGTCGTTGCCATGCATAGCCTGATACTTCTTTAATTGTTCTTTTTCTTCCTTACTGTACCTGGTTGAGGAAATGAGCACAGCTATAAATTCAAACCATTTCAATCTTTTATAAAAGAGCTGTAACCTCTACTGTGCATGAAGTCACAGCAACTGGCATAAAGAGGAAACAATCTTCATTTAAAGAAATTGTTAATGCACAAATAACCAACAGATACAGATATGAGCATTCAGAAACCCTTAAATGATTCCCTTACCTTCCTTTATAATTATTGGGGTCAAACATCTTCCTTGCTCTGTAATATATCAGCCTCCAGGGTCGAGGTATGCCCTCAGCTAGAAGGGAAAGGATCATTTTTAAGAAACATTTCTCACACTGCTGAGGCCATTTAAAAAAACAAAAAAAAGCCAAAACAAAACAAAATCAAAACCCACCACCACACATTTTCATGACTGTGCTGCCAAGAACAGATTCTTGCCCAGCAAATAAAGCACCTGAAGCCATAAAGCCCAAATACAAGTTTAAAACTCTTTAAGTGTTACTGGTCTTGATATTTTATCTCTAAACTCTTCCTACCTGAGACCAGGTAAGAACAGAACATAATACTGTGAGGATTATCAACAACACCATCATCTCACCAGCATGCTCCTTTTTGGACCAAATTCAGCAATATCAGTGCTTTTCAATAAAAATCAGTTTAAAAAATATATCATGGCATCACCAGGCTGTGGAATGGAACATTCAGTTTAAGAAGGAACTTAAAGACTCACAGATTTTCGTACAGAACTCGTGCTCTGTCTTGAGGCGATTGATGGTTTCTTTATCTTCTGGATACCTGGAAGTGAACAGGAGTTTCTCAGCACTGTCTATCCCACTGATGGATAAAAATTCTTCAACGTTTTTCCGGATTTGATTGTTTTCCTTCTGGGTAAATCTGCCAAACTTGACAGCAACACCTAAAATATACAAAGGTAAAATAAAAAAGAAAGTCAAACCTCAAGTAGCATCTTTTATGTGTTTCAGGTTTTAGCTCAGGTTTAACAAGAGGTCAACAAATCCAAAGGGGAAAAAAGAAAATTGAAAGAGTCAAAAGAGTAATTTACACAAAAACCAGAAAATATGTCAGATGGAATGAGGTGAACCACAACAGGCACAACACAAATAATTATTTTCCCTCTGTCAAAACATGAGCACGGCCCTTCCTCACTGCAACAGTATTTTAGAGAGCTCACCTTGTTTTTTAAACTCTTTAAACCTTGGCAGGTCTCTTCCAACCATCTTCTTGATGGAACCATCTGAGATATTCTCCACGTGAGGAATGAACTCTTTCAATTCTTGCCTGGCAGTGTCCAAATCCATGAATGAAGACGTGACAGAGTCCACGTATTCATCATCATCCACACTCACCTCATCAGAGGCTGCCATCTCAGCAAAGGAGCCGTTCTGGCTCTTCTTTTTATTTGATGCTGAGGGTTCTGGGGTCCTGCTATTTAAAACCAAAACCAAACATAAATACACCACCAGAACTCCAAACCAGAGGTTTTTCTTAGCATCTCTGCCACTAAAAGAATGAACATGGCCATTCATTAAAGAACAAGGAACACTTCACACATCCACCCCCTTGTATTTCCAACTTTTTAACACAGATATAATTTATTACCAAATGTCTATACTTACAATAGTCAAAGAGCTTTTTAAGGTTTAGAAAATCCACAAAACTCTCACCCTTGGCCATACTGAAGAAATAGTGTCTCTTGCTACTACTGGCACACAGATTTTTTTTCCATCTGTCCCTTTCTAGTGCACTTATAGTGGGTTCTAGACACTGTAAAAGCACCAAGAGCTACTTACAAGAACATTTGTCTGCACAGAACATTAAATTCTTTAGCTAACCTTACTAGTTGCTTCCAAATTTAACACATGAACTTCCTTCCTCCCCCCCCCTTTTTTTTTACTAAATATGAATTGTTTGAACTTATATTTCTACATCTACAGCTTTTAGAAAGGAGGAAAGAGCCCACACTGAAAGCAAGTGTATTCTTACAACTTGTTATTCTATTTCCATAAGATAACTAAGCTTTTGAAGTAGTCTCTAACATCTCAATGTGCTGTGTAAGTTAAAAGTTTTTCTTTAAAAAACATACAAAACACAACGACGAAAAATCTGTGGACCCAAAAAACCATGACAAAGCCCCACATTTTGGGGGGTGAAGGAAGGAAAAAAAAAAAAACCCCACACAGAAAAACCTCCTAAACTTACATCTCATCTGAGTCTGAAGAACTTTCTTCAGAGACTAAAGCGCTGCTTTTAATTGTCTTTTTAGCATATCCTGGTGTTTTCTGAGTTTGATTAGGTGCTTTACTGGGTGTGGAAAAACCAGCAGGCACCTCCACTGAGAGCTCACTGGTGGCAGAAGCAGCATCAGAGTCACCACCCTTGTGCCTCTGCTCCTCCTTGGCAGGTAAAGATGACCCTTTGTCCCTTGCTGGCCTGTTTCGCCCTGGAGATGATTGGTCAGCAGCTCCATCTGTGTCCTCCTGCCCGTCCTGGGCACTGCTGCCTCTCCTCTTCTTCCTCTTCTTCTTGGGTTTCTCTCTGCTGTTCTCGCTGCCTCTTTGGGAGGGAGGCTCCTCGTGCTCCTCACCCGCCTCAGGCAGCTTTGCTTTCCTCTTCTTCTTCTTCTTCTTGGAGGATTTTTTGATGTACACATAATCCATAGTGCTGTCCTGGCAGCCCCCGGGGCTGTGCTGGTTCACCAGCACGCAGGTGACATCGCTCTGCTCGTCCGTGCTCTCGCTGCACTCCTGCTTCCTTCTCTGCTTCTGGGGAGCCTCCACTCCTGTTCCATTGGTAATCTCCTGGTCCATTCTCACACAATAATCAGCTATGGAAGCCTGCTGCTGCTTTTTCCCCTTGTTTGGGGCTTGTTTTTTCTTCTTCTTGCTGCCCTCCTCACCCTGCGCTGCCGCGTTTTCCAACAGCAGAGGGGAAGCTCGCCCGAGCTCCGGGTCACCCCCACTCCCATCATTCCCACGCTGGCTGTTGCACTCCTTGTGTTTTCTCTTCTTCTTCCTCTTCTTGAGGAAATCCTGGCCTTGAAAATCATCTGCACGTGCCATTCCTTTCATTTTTTCTTGGATAAAAGACAGGAATTTTATTAAGAGTGTGGTAATTTACCTACCATGACCCACGTTCAACTGTACAAACCCCTCCCCCCTATAAAACAAACAACAGAAAGCACAAAACCCACTCAAAACTTTAAAAATCAAATGCTTCATTTTACCTTAGGAATATTAAATAAAAACACTCACTTTTCAAACCAGTTGGTTTTGCAAAGTGCCTATGAAAAACTGACGCCTTCTCTGGGGAACAGATGTGCATCACAGCTGGACTCAGCCTGAAAGTGCCTTCCTGGAACACCAAAAGACACACTTTATTAACTATTAGTTTGATTTTGAATAACGAAGCACCGTCAGACTGTCATGATGAACTCTGTTTTCAGCACCGAAGCACCAACAAGTTAAAATTAACAGAGACATATGAGACTAATCAGCATTAAAACCCAATTCTCTAATTAGAAACTTTCTGCCGGGCCCTGCCCGAGCTCAAACCTTTGAATTCCGCAGCCCCGGGGCAGTCTGCAGCGCCAGCCAGCACCGGGCATCACCGGCTCGCGAGGGCCCTGCGGGCAGACACTGAAGAGCTCGCACCCAGCTCGTCCCAACGCCCCGTTACCGATCAACCCGCCCGCAGGCCCGGCCGAGCGCAGGGCCCCGCCGCAACCCCCGCGCCCGCCCTGCCACTACCGTGGACACGCGTGGAGCACCCAACGCGTTCTTGGCGGCGCCACGACCTCTCAGTCTACTCCGGGACCCCCTAAAACCCCTCAGTGACCCCCCCACCACCGCCCCGAGCCCCCCACCTCCACGTGGGGTCCGCCCGCGCCGCCGTCCCCCCCGCGCCCCGCGGCCAGCGGATCTTCCGTTCCCCCAACGGAAGCGGCCCCCGGCCGGAGCCGTGAGAGCGGCGCACCGCCCGTTGCCAGGGAGACGGAGGACGCCGCGCGCGCCACGCGAGCGGTGGGAGCGGGATTGGGACCGGGAGAGACCCCCCCCAGAACCTGGAGTGGGACTGGGAGAGACCCCCCGGGACCGGGACCGACCCCCCGGGACCGACACTGGGACTGCAGAGACGCTCCCCGGGACCGGGGCCGCCAAGAGACCCCCGGGACCGGGGCGGGGACCACTGAGACTCCCGTGAAGAGGGACCCCCGAGAGCCCCCCGGCCATGGGTGGGGGCACGGCGGGGCGCCAGCGACGGAAGCCAATGACCTTGGCCGAGGCGGGCCCGGGCACCGAGAACGAGCGGCTCGGGGTGATCCGGCTCAGCATGTTCGAAAACCCGCTCATCATCAAGGTGAGCCCCGCGACCCCTCCGCGAACGGGACCCCCGGGAGGGCGGGGGGGTGTCACGGTTCCCACGGCGGCTCCTCGGCGGAAAAGCTTCCCGTTAAAGTTGAACACGGGACGGGGACATTGGGTTTCCTCGCTGCTCCTTCGTGTTTTAAAGTCCCGGCGGTCCCAGAGGGTGACGGGTACAGAGTTCTCCCTCGGAGGGTCGGGGGTTTTCCCGGTCTGTGGTTCCACTGTCTGGGGAGCTCGGGGACAGGGATGCCTGGTTGACAGTGTGGTGATAGGTCAAAGGCTGGATTCAATGATCTCGGAGGGCTTTTCCAACCTTAAGGATTCTGTAATTAGGATTTTCAGACCTGCTGTAGAGGCTCTGGTCCCTTGACAAACTCCTGACGGTTCTCGACTTGTACCCCCCCCCCCCCCCGCTCACCGGCCGAGCTCGAGACTGGCCTTACAAGGTTTTAGGCATCTCCCTTCGGTTAGTTCCTCCTCCTCGACCCCCACAACCCACAGCAGGTGCCGCTTTAACCCCCCGCCTGTCCCGGACCGAGGAGCAGCTGAAAGTGCAGCTCCCGTCCCCTGGATGGCACTCGTGGAACAGCTTCGTGCCCGAACCAAGCGCTCCCAGCCCGGTCCCCGGCAGGGAGCGAGCCCCGAGCGCTCCGGGCTGCACCGGCTCCTCTTTTCCCCTTTCCCTGCCGAGGTTCTGCTCCAAAGCCTTGTTTTCCCACTGCAGCCAGTGGTGGGAAAACTTTCCCACTTTAACCACGGAGTTCAGCTCTTGAGCTCCCTCGGTAATCGCCCCCCCGGCTTGGAAGTCAGCCATAAAAAATTTGGAATGTCACTGAAAATTTGAGTCTTTGCAATGTCCAATAACTTTTCTTTCTTTCTCGTGAAACTCTAAAAGTATGTTTGGAAATTGTATCAGGCAAAGTAAAAAAAAAAGAAAAGAAAAAAAAAGGAAAAAAAAAAAAAGAAAAAAGAAAGCAGGCTTGGCATCAGAATTCAAAAGCAGCTTCACCTGTTCAAATCCATGGCAGGGTGTGGAACTGGATGAACTTTAAGGTCCCTTCCAGTCTGGATTCCTGCTCTGTGGCCAGGTAAAACTAAAAGTAGAGCAAGTTTTGGAGAAAAAAAAAAATATAGTGTTAAATTTTAGCATTCTGGACAATTCCCGTTCTCTCAGGGCTTCCTTGCAGGTAGGGATGTAAGGAGATTTGCATCCACCTGATGGAATCCTTGAGCCTGGAGTAACTGGGCTGTTGACAGGGATGGTTCTACTCTTGGAACCAGCGGTAATTTCACCTCGTGGTAGGTTCTGTTGTAAAGTTTGTGCAACGAGCTGCTGCCCCATTGCCAGCTGCCTTCCCACACTGTGCTGTGCCCCAGCAAGTGCTGGATTTACCAGGGTGTCCTTCACTGCCAGGAGGTGACAGGGAAAGGATGGCATTTGACTGGGTGAACACTGGCACTCGGCCAGTCCCCCTCACTGGGGCACACACTGGCACACTCGCAGCATCAGCCCTCTGCCACATCTCCTCCTGCTTCCAGCTGCAGTCTGGAGCCTCCTTCCCTCCAGGAGAGCCCTGGGGACCAGGCATTTCGGAGACGATGGCCAGCAGGTCCCAGCCCTCCCGCTGTGTGGGGCCACCTGAAAACCAAGGACACAGAGATGGTTTAGAGGAAAGGGACAAAAGGCTTTGAGACAACTGCTGCTTGGACAAGTGCTGCTGGCAGCTGAGAGAGCATGAGGAACACACAGCTCCTACTGCTGCCAGTCAGACCCTCTGGGCAGCAGAGACAGGAACCTGAGGCCCAGGAGTGATGGATGGGACACTCGGTCCCCAAAACCTTGGTGGAAGTGTGACAGACCCCCCACTTTGCAGCAGCCAACAACGGGATCTGCTGCTTTCTCTCCCAGTTCTCTTATGAATCTTCTAAATGTGGCATCAGATATCCAAATGAACCACTGCCCAGACTGTTTCTGGCTCTGCCCAGCCCCATCCCACCAGGATGTGTCCACACACACCAGCTATCACAGATTAAAACCACCATCTTCTGACATCAAGATTTCTAGGGATAAATGCTCTATTTTTCTCTGCTAGAATGTGTTTTAATTAATCAAGGAGTTAAATTAGTTATCAATATATATATATTTGCTTGCAGCATGAAACTGAGGGAAGCATTTCTTCTACTGATGCCAGTGAAAAACTGAGCAAAGCATTTTTGGTTTGTTTTCACCAATAAAAGCCTTAGCCAAGCACTTTTCCAGTACAAACTTACTGAAAACTCCTGTGTTCGAAAAATAAACCAGCTCTGGGAAGGAGATAAAGAGTTTACCACCCTTAACCCCCGGCATGCTCAACAGGAACTGCAGAAAAAGTTGTCCATAGAAGTTTGGGGACATTTATATTAAGATCTTCTGGACAATATGGCATAAATAAGTTCCAAAGTCATTGTGTCACCCCTGTGAAATCAGACATATCTCTGGGGTGTGAAGGTAAATGGAGAATTCAGCCCCACGTGCCAAAGCATCCTCTTACCTGTTTAAGTGGAGCCACAGGACGTGCCGAAAGCAGGGAACTGCTCTCCAGGAAATGCCCTCAGAGCCCCAACAGCATAAAAAGTTGTCTCAGAACTGGCATTTCTGAGGAGGAAAAGGAGGATGGTGAGAGCAGGGGAAAGGCTGGCACCAGGTCTCAGTCCAGGCTGCAGGAGAGACAGAGATGTAACAAAGACAACTGCTGGAATGTGCATTACTTGTTTTAAAAGCTGGTTATTTACATGAAAACTGATGCCAGGCTGTCTTTATTGGTTTGAATGCCAGGCCATTTAGGATTCATTTTCCTAAGCTTCCTTCTGCAGCCCTGAGGGCTGGAATTTTTTTCTTTTTTTCCAAATAGGATTGAACAAAAGCTACAGGACTCCAGCAATAAAATTTCAGTAGCTGCAATCTCCAGAAGAAGAATATATGATCAAAAAAAAAAAAAAAGCTCACAAAACCATAGGAACTGGCACAGGAGGGTTCAGGAATCCCTGCTAAACCAGGGAGAGTGAACTGCTCTTTTTGTGGAGGAAGAGGAGGCACAGGAGAGCTCTCCCTGAGCTCCCCCAGGAGCTGCTCCATGCCCAGGGAGGGTGGGGGTAAGGACAGGGCACCAACCTGGGCAGGAAGGGAAGGTGCTAAAATAGAGGCTTCCTTAAAAATACACCCATGGATGCTCAGAGAGGGCTGAATGAGCCATCAGAAACGCGCAGGGGTCGTGTCTGTGTGAGGGCTGGCACTGACAGGAGTAAAATCGTTGCCTTTCCACAGGGCACCCAGGCAGGGATGTCAGATCCCCTTATCCCTGCTCTCCCCCAGGGAGCTGGGGCTCCAACCACAGCTGAGATCTCAGAGCTGCTTCCACGTGGCCCAGCTCTGCTGCTGCCATCACATCTCTGAGTGGCAGCTTCCAGAGTGTTTGGATAACTTCTCTCAGGTGTTTGCTTTGATGATTTAAATAACTCTAGTTTCCTCTCTTAACCTGAACCTGATTTAAATAACTCTAGTTTCCTCTCTTAACCTGAACCTGCTCTCAGCTGCGTGGGATCAATACATCTGTGGAAAATTTGGCCAGGGACCAGGTTTTGCTTTGTCTGCTCAGGTAAAGGACCCCCATCACACAGAGCAGAGTGGCCACAAGTGCCTTGAGCTGCATTTGCAAGAAGGTTGTCTTATTTGGTGGTAATTATACTATTTACCTCAAATCTCTGCATGTGCTGAGCATCCTGCCTTCTGTGCTTCCTGCCTGGGGACACTGAGGTTTAATTAGTGTTTAGGCAGCATTTTGTGTGCTTATTACTGTTATTATTATTATATCACTCGTACCATTATATTTTTTGCAATCTAAGGCCAGTTGTTGTGCTTTTAAATATGTATTCTGAAATGTCTACATTGTACAGCTCAATAATTCATTAGAGAAATAAGCTAATGAAGGGCTGGTTAGTCAAATAATCATTAGGTTTGGTTCTGGGCTTTCTTTCCAGTGCTCTGACTTCTAAGGGTTTTCTTCTCAGCATGAACTCATTTAAGATTTTTAAATGAATTATTTGGTACACTAAAAATTAAACTCCTTATGAGCTTTAGTGCCCTCCCATATTTTGCACAGACACCACTGAAATAAATAAGGTATTTCCAAGAGGCAAATAAACATTCTGCATGAGCGAAAGGAGTGTTTATTTTTTAACTCCTGGTTATTTGAACACAGGCACTTGGGCAGCTTGCACACTGCCAGCTGTGATTCAGCAGGCAGAGGGACAGCACCAGCAGCACCAGGCACTCAGAGCTGCTCACCCCCAAGATCCACATGCAGGATGTAAAATCAAGCAAAAGGGCATTTTGCTCCTTTATGTGAACAAAACAATGCAAATTGGTGAGACTAATGAGACCAGAAACATTACAAGGTGAATGCCTTTTATGTTCGTGAAAATCTTCTATGTTTATTTGTCTAATACAATGGAAATAAAGCTTCAAAGGCTCTTTGATTTAAAAGTGCATTCTTGAAGTCAGCCAGCCCCGTAATAATGGTGAGACCAAATTGTTGCATTATGACCCCAATGGCAGCATTGTCATAGCAGAGAACATCTGTACAGCCTCTTGCCTCAGTTGGTGGTGATGTAAAAGCAAAAACTCAGCCAGAATTTTTGGGCAGAATAGGGAAAAAAAAACCCTAAAATGAAAAAGGGTCACAAATGGCTCCAGACATTCACAGAGCACCCAGAGCTGCAGCGGGATATAAATTTTTATGATGAACCTAAAAAACTCAGGCTTTATTATCTGAAAGATTTAAGAAACTTTGGGGGGAGAGCCACCACCAGTTTATAGTGCTGGCCCTGAAGCACACTAAGGCAAGAGATTATTTTCAGACTGAGGCAGGGATATTCCAAATCCTGCCAATATGACCTTAACCCACCAATCCTTCTCCAGAGACACCAACCCCAGCAGACTGAGAGCAGCACCAG